ACTCCCTGGATGCCACCTGGAACTGGTTCCCCGTGCTCCCCCTAGCCCTGTGCTACTATCACAAGCTGCCAGGCCCTCCAGCTGGTGCTGACACCAGCCCTTCCACTGCTACGACACTGGCCTCCCTCTCCCCGCTGCAGTTACTCATAGGGGCTCTGACCAGCTCCTGCGTGGCAAGGCCCCCGCAGGGGTAACTCAGAGACCCCCTGGCCTGTGGCCCCAGGATGATGCCCCCTCAGGGCACAGGGCAATTCTCATCCCGGGGAGCCGCGTCCCTCACACTGGGCCAAACAAGGCCAAGAGCAGTGAGGCGGAATAGAGGCAGGGGGGAGAGACCTGGTGCGGCCTGTCTGGCATCTGGCCACTAGGTGGCACCACAGAATCCTAGAGCTGGCAGAGACCTCAGGAGTCATCGAGTCCAGCCCCCTGCCCAAGGCAGGACCAACCCAACTCAATCAACCCGGCCAGGGCTTTGTCAGCTGGGACTTAAACACCCCTAGGGATGGAGATTCCACCCTCCCCTAGAGAATCCAGCCCAGGGCTTCCCACCCGCCTAGGGAAATGTCTTCCATAATCTTCAACCTAGACCTCCCCCACTGTAACTTGAGCCCATTGCTCCTTGTTCTTCCACCTGCCACCCTGAGAACAGCCTCTCTCCAGCCTCTTTGCAATCCCCTTTCAGGGAGTTGCAGGCTGCTCCCAAATCCCCCCTCACTCTTCTCTTCTGCAGACTGAACAAACCCAAATCCCTCAGCCTCTACTCATAGGTCGTGTGCTCCAGGTCCCGAATCATTTTGGTTTCCCTCTACTGGACCCTCCCCGCAGGGTCTGGGCACGACCTGGCACAACAGGGCCCTGATCTCATTTGGGTCTGGGCAGCACCTGGCATGACGAGGCCCTGATCTCTGTCAGGTTTGGTGTGCTGCTAGGTCACATCTTACCCTGACTTTCTGTAGTTTCTGCTCTTTGCTTGCCCTTCTCAGGGCTGTGGTGTGTCGGGCTGGGGTGTCTCAGCCGTGGTCCCCAGCGTGACAGATGCAGCTCAGACAGGCTGACCGTGTGGGGGGCCAGGAAGCTGATTTTCGATGGGTTTCTGTGGGGCTCAGCAGAGGGGGCGGCGAGGGGGGCTGCTAGTGTCTGCAAACCTCACAGGCACCAAGCTTCTGCTGCTCTGCAGACTAAACAAACCCAAATCCCTCAGCCCCTCCTCATTGGTCATGTGCTCCAGCCCCCGAACCATTTTGGTTGCCCTCTGCTGGACTCTCTCTGGTGCGTACAAATCCTTTCTGTAATGGCAGCCCAGAACTGGACACAGTATTCCAGAAGTGGCCTCACTAGTGCCAAAGAAAGGGGAATAATCACTCCTCTAGATCTGCTGGCAATGCTCCTCCTAATACCACTTAATATGCCATTAGCCTTCTTGGCTACAAGGGCATCCTGTTGACTCATCTCCAGCTTCTCCTCCACTGGAATCCCCAGGCAGTCGGTCCCCAGCCTGTAACAATTCTTGGGATTCTTCTGTCCCAAGGACAGGACTCTGCACTTGTCCTTGTTGAACCTCAGCAGATTTCTTTGGGCCTAGTGCTCTAATCTTTCAGGTCACTCTGGGCCCTCTCCCCACCTCTCCCCCTGGCTTAGTGTCATCCGCAAACTTGCTGAGGGTGCAATCCATCCCCTCAGCCAGGTCATTAATAAAGATGTTAAAGGTGACGCGTTGTCACCATCTCATCAGATGGAACCTTGACCAGCCTTGGACCATCGTGTGTCTCGGGTGGATTTTCCGCTCTAGGGTCCCTTCTGTCCTTTGCCCAGTGCTTTGCCCTGCCCCCCCATGCCCTGCCCCAAATCACACCCAGTCCCAGTGCCCCCACCCCCACACGCCCTGCTGTCACAAGGTGCTCCGATCTAGCTGACGTGCTCAAAGCTCACAAGACATGTATTGTTAGCCCAGGGCTACTCAACACGTGGCCTGTATGTTTGTGACCCACGGTGCCGTTTGGGTTTACATAGGGCTCTACATGCCGCCCACGGCTGGGATCCTTTGAACACGGCCCCCACTGGGAACACGCTCCACAGTGGCGAGGCATGAAGATGCAAGCGGATGGACTGGCTAGAACAGGGGGTCAGTGTTTCTAGCCCCCAGAGAGGAGGTGCCGGGAGCACCAGGGCATTGTGGGAAGCGCTTTGTACACATGCCTGGAGTTCTGCAAGCCCCGATATTTTATTTGGAACTTTCAATAAAAGGCAGCGTTAAGGAGGGAGGCAGGGGAAGAAGGGGAAGTGTTTGTGATTGTTCTCAGAGACCAAATGAAGACCAGATGTCTGCCATGGGGTGCCACGTCACTCCTCGGTGCAGAAAAGCCTGTCTGTGGTAGTTCCTCTGAATGCATTTAATACAGAGAAATCAGTGAAGGATCCGTTTCATCCTTTTTTGGCTTCCGTCCATCCGCATGGATGCATCGGTTCACAGTGTTTGAAGGAAACTCAAGGGGGAAGGACCACATGAGCATAGATCAGTGGGTTCCAACCTTTTTACACCCAAGATCACTTTTTAAATGACAGAACAAGCCAAGATCTACCGCCCCGCCCCTTCCTCGAAGCCCCGCCCCTTCCTCTCTATTCTCCTCTCCATCGCTTGCTATCCCCAGCCCTTATACTGCTGCTTTCCCCCTCAATTCTTCTGTCGGAAGAGGTTTTTCCAACATTTGGCCTGTCTAGAATGGACCAAATGTCAGAAAAACCCCTTCTTTTGGAAGCCCCCTTCTTCCTCGTGGAATATAGGGGTTACTGAAAGAGCACGTTTTCTCTTCCACTACAAGAAGCAGAAGAACAAACACATCCCGGGATGCAGAAGAGTTTTTCTGGGATATCTCCAGAATCCTGAAAAACTCCTTGGCTACATCTACACTGGCATGATTTTCCGGAAATGCTTTTAACAGAAAAAACACTTTTTGCGGAAAAGCGTCCGTGGCCAATCTAGACGTGCTTTTCTGCAAAAAAGCCCCGATTGCCATTTTCGCAATCGGGGCTCTTTTGCAGAAAACAAATTTCTGCTGTCTACACTCGCCCTTTTGCGCAAAAGTTTTTCAGAAAAAGACTTTTGCCCGAACGGGAGCAGCATAGTATTTCCGCAAAAGCACTTACAATCTTACCTGAGATCATCAGTGCTTTTGCGGAAATTCAAGCGGCCAGTGTAGACAGCTGGCAAATTTTTCCACAAAAGCAGATGGTTTTGTGGAAAAACTTGCCAATCGAGACACAGCCCTTCAGTCTACAGCGTGTAGTCAACCTGTGGAACTCCTTGCCAGAGGAGGCTGTGAAGGCTAGGACTATAATAGAGTTTAAAGAGAAGCTAGATAATTTCATGGAGGTTAGGTCCATAAAAGGCTATTAGCCAGGGGATAAAATGGTGTCCTCGGCCTCTGTTTGTCAGAGGCTGGAGAGAGATGGCAGGAGACAAATTGCTTGATCATTGTCTTCGGTCCACCCTCTCTGGGGCACCTGGTGCTGGCCACTGTCGGCAGACAGGATACTGGGCTAGAAGGACCTTTGGTCTGACCCAGTATGGCCTTTCTTATGTTTTTATGTTCTTATGTCTAGCCATAACCTCGCTGGGTTGAGGCAGGATGTGTAGGGTCTAGGGTGGGAATGCGGGATTTGGATGTGGGAAGGGGTGAGAGGTGCAAGCTCTGGAAGGAAATTTGGATGCAAGAAGAGGTGGAGAAGGGGATGCTGCATCGGAGAGGGGGCTTCAGGCCAGGCAGTGTTGGGGTCAGATTTAGGGTTAGGTACTAAGCAAGCCACAGGCTTATGGATATGAGGGTGCAGGAATTTGGGTTAGGGTATGTGAGGTGCTTAGGACAGGGGGTTCCAGTGTATGATAGGTTCAGACTGAGGGTCTGGGGGAAGGGGGAGTGCAAAGTGTTATGATGCTGTGGGCAGATGGGGGCTTGGCCCCAATTTGGGGTTTGTTGGCCAGGCTTCATTTTTAAATAAAATACTGTGTAAAACACACAACGTTTCTGCATTGTCTTTATTTCCAAGAAGGGTGGAGAACCTGTTTTGAGTCACCGGTCACTGACCCACAGAAAAGTCAGTTGGGGCCACACAAGTGAGATGCAAAATAAAAACTCCTCCAAAACCCCCACAAGCCTCACTAATGTGGCCCCAACTGTGCTGGTGGGAGCAGGGGACATGGTGCTGGGGAAGGATGCCAGGGGGTACCAGGACAGGGTACTGGGTAGGGTGCCAAGGCAGGGGACAGGGTGCTGAGGCAGGGTGCCAGTGGGTTCCAGGGCAAGGTCCTGGGGCAGAGGACAGGGTGTCAGTGGAGGCAAGGGACGGGGTGCTGGGATGGGGACAGGGTGCCAGCAAGGGCAGGGGCCAGGGGGAGTAGAGTGCCAGTGGGAACAGAGGGCAGGGTGTTGGCTGGGGCAGGAAATATCCTCAGCATGTGCCCCCTCCGGGGGGGGGGAGCTCCAGCAAGAGCCTCCTCCTGGGACTCCTCAAACCTCCCCGGTGCATGCTTCCCCCCGGGACTCCTACCTTCTGCCCCACAGAGGAGCGGAGACCTGGTGTGCGCCTCCACACCCTCCCCCCCGCAAACCTCAGCATGCACCTTCCTCCGGGACTCCTACCTCCTCCCAGCGCACCACAGACCTGGAGGAGGGGAGTAGGCAGCACACTTCCAGAAACCCTGGAAGTGGCGTGCAGCTAACGGACTTCCCTCCACCCTGTGGAAAGCCAGCACAACCTCCATTTTTGGAGGTAGGTAGTGGGGCTCCTTGGAGGTGGGGGAAACTGGGGGGTGGCCTCGCACGCCTCACAGTTGAATGGTCGAGCCCTCCCGATCGACCAGTGGATCATGATCGACAGGTTGGTGACCACGGGCTTAGACCATCTCCAGCGAGGGCATATCAGAACAAGCAGAGCTGAGTGGGGATTACGTTCATGGGAGGGCGGAGTCCTTAGGATCCATTTTGCACTGTTGCCAGCTGCAGTTCCCAGCTCTAGGCAAAGGCACAGCTCCTAGGTGGCCTGGGATTCCATCTCCATGCTGGATTTGCTCTTCGTGTTGGCCGTGGTGCTGACAGCATCCTCGGTAAAGGCACTTTCGAAGGCAGAAAAGAGGGACCGGCGCAGCTTCTCCTTGAAGTCCTGTCCCATGAAGACATAGAGGATGGGGTTGAGGCAGCTGTTGATGAAGGCCAGGCTGGTTGCCAAGGGGAAGCCAATGATGAGGGCAGTGTGCAGGCTCTGGGTATGGTGTAACTCCAGGAAGGAGAAGACATGGTAGGGGAACCAGCAGAGGAAGAAAGATATGATCACAATGGCGATGACCTTGAAGGGCTTATTAGACCGGATCTTGTGGCCCCTCCTTAGGCGGACCAAGATGGCACCGTAGCAGCAGACGATGACAGCAAAGGGGATGAGGAAGCCCAAGATAAAGCGGCTGATGGCCATCGCCCGGTGGTTGATGTTGATAATTCTGTGGATCTCCTCCTTGGGAGCCCCTTCTGGGGCCGTGTTGAAATTATAGTAGCAGTGGATGATGTCCTTGTTATTCGGGGAGTGATCCGTGTAGCGGAAGTAGAGATACGGAGAACACAAAACCAAGGCCAAGACCCACACAGCCAAAGCTACCAATAAAGCCAGGCGAGGCGTGCGGTAGTTCTGGGCCCACACTGGGAGCATGACGGAGATACAACGGTCTATGCTGATGACCATGAGAAGGTAGACACTGGCGTAGAGGTTGAAGAAGGCCATGGCTGAGTTGATCTTGCACATGGCCAGCCCGAAGGGCCAGTGGAAATCCATGGCAATGTAGGCCACGCTGAGGGGGAGGAAAAAGGTGAACATAAAGTCAGCCACGGCCAGGTTGAGGAACCAGATGGTGCTGACGGTTCTCTTCATCCGGAAACCAGTGATGAAGATGACCAGCCCGTTGCCCGTCACTCCCAGCACGAAGGCGATGGAGTAGATCACCATGGAGAGCACATGCATGCTCTTGAGCAGCACTTTCTGCTGAGCATCATCTTCATAGTTTTCCTCATATTCTCCAGAATAAGCACTGGAGTAATCACTCCAGGAAGTTGTGGGGAGGGAGGTGCCATTCACAGCCATGGGAGTGTCTCCTGTTCTCTCTGTTAGACCTTTCTCCACCTGGAACACACCAACACAACCCCTCCATTAGACATCTCCCTGGGCAGCCTCCCAACCAGCCAGTGCGTGGGCGGGAACATCAGTCCTTACAAGGACTCCCATGGCCTATTGCCCGCATTTACACTCGGCGAGACACTTGAACTAAGACGATAAAGGGGCTCAAGAGAGGCTCCTGGCGCCTACCTGGTAAATTAACTTACTGTTTTCCCAGTCACTAGGTTAGGTCAACGTCTCCCAACTGAGGCATGGTGATAAATTGGAGAGGACTCAGAGAAGCATCATGGGAATTATTCAGGTATTGGAATCCCTGCCTTGTGAGAGATTCCAGGAAATGCAGCTCTCTGGCTTAACAAAGAGCAGTTGAAGGGATGATTTGATCCCAGTGCACAGGTATCTACATGGAGAACAAATATTTGATCTTGGGTTCTTTGGTCCAGCAAACAAAGTTTAGCAAGGCCCAAAGATAAATAACAGGCAAATGTTTAATGCTGTGGGAATTCACCGTGGGAATAACTTCCTAAGAGCTCAAAAGGATTCTCCATCACTGGCATGTTCATAATCAAGATGGGGGGTGTTTCCCAAAGATGTGCTTTGCATCCAACAGGAATAAGTGGGTGAGGTTTTATGATTAGCCGACCTTCCAATAATGGGCTTTTCTGGTCGCTAGTGATTCTGAACTCCCGGGGGAATAAAATGGATTCAGATTGAACCACAATGCAAGATTTTTCACAATTTTCAGTAGCTGAAAAAGTCAGGAAAAATCAGTTTGGGGAACCATTTCCTTCAACCTAAACGGAACCATCTTGTTTGCATCTTGAGCAATTTTAACGGGTTTGACTAATTTAAAACTTGATCTTCCCAAATGAGAAGTCATTTCGAATGAACGCATTTTGTTTCCAAACATGTCCAATGGAAGCCTTTCAATGTGGGGAGGAAATTTGTTTTTTGGCAAGGTGTGTGTCAGGGGGCGGGGAATTGTCTGGGTCACATTATTGGATTCTAATGCTCACTGTTGCACCAATAGGGGGTGTTTGCCCCAAAAGTCTGTACAAAGGGGGCCAAGTGAGGTGTCACATGAAAACTTCTGTTCTACTGATTCAGTGGGTGCTATTCATGTACTTGTCTAATGTCTGAGTGTGGAGTTATAATTAGGTACTCTGTGTTGATGCGGGAAGGTTCCCTGTTTGAGGCTGTGGAGTTATCATTAGGTACTCTGTGTGGATGCAGGAATGTTCCCTGTCTGAGGCAGAGCCATGGGCAAGGAATGTTCAGCCAGTGACTGTGCTAATTAGCAAGGCTCCAGGGACAATGAATCTCTCGGTGCTAATACATACCTGATGAATGTCTGGATCCCTGCATGCGGCCAGAATAATGCTTGCTTTCTTGGGACACACCTGATCCCAGATGCAGCCTTGTAGGGATCAACAATCTGGGAAGAACCGTGGACCCGTCCTGACATAGGGGGTATGTCCGTCGACGGAGCCATGTAGATTACCTTTGTAGACATAGAAAAATGAAGCGGCTATTTAAATAATCGTCGCTTCATTTAAATTAAAATGGCTGCCGCGCTGAGCCGATCAGCTGTTTGTCGGCACAGTGCTGTAGTCTGGACGCTCTGCAGTCAACATCAAAGGCATTAGTCGATCTCCCTGGTAAACCTCAGCCCACGAGGCATAACAGGGAGGTCGACAAATGCCTTTGATGTCGACTGTGGAGCGTTCAGACTACCGCACTGTGCCGACAAATTTAAATTAAAATGGCTGCCGCGCTGAGCCGATCAGCTGTTTGTCGGCACAGTGCTGTAGTCTGGACGCTCTGCAGTCAACATCAAAGGCATTAGTCGATCTCCCTGGTAAACCTCAGCCCACGAGGCATAACAGGGAGGTCGACAAATGCCTTTGATGTCGACTGTGGAGCGTTCAGACTACCGCACTGTGCCGACAAAGAGCGGCGGCAGCCATTTTGATGTAAATGAAGCAGCGATTATTTAAATCAACGCTTCATTTTGCTATGTCTACAAAGGTAATCTACATGGCTCCGTCGACGGAGCCATGCAGTGTAGACGTACCCAGGATGTCCACCAGAGACTTTTAAGATGGCAGTTTATAAGTCTCCTCTAAGATCCTGTATCGAGAACTGGGTGATTTGTTGCATGTCATGTATTATCCTCTAAAAACCTCACTCTCCTGCTTTTCTTTCTTTTAGTAATGAACCTTTCAATTTTATATTCTAAAGCATTAGTTCAGTGTGATTTTGTGGGTAAGTTCCAGAATGTAAATTGACCTGGGAACAGTGGCTGGTTTCTTGGGACTGGAAGAACCCGTTCGGGGTAGGTGAAATTGGGTTCGATAACCCCTCACCTGTGTGCAGGCCCGGGGCTGATTGGAGCAAAGGGAGAGCTTGGGGGTCAGAGGGGTTTTGCTCGTGAGGCTTCAGACTGGCCAGATAGGCAGCTGAAGTGCTCGGTGTGACTGGTTTGTGGCCTGTTTAGAAGGTCTCCAGTCTGGGGGCTGTAAGGAGCCCTGAGTTTTGAGCAATTCGCCCAGCGGATGCCCTCAGCTGTGCCCAGACCCGGCCCAGTCCGTCTGATGCCAACAATTTTGTGAAACTGGCCCAGATTTGTGAAATGTTTTAGTGTCGCCAATTTTTCATTTTTCATAGAACCCTCTCCCACTCCAATTTGATTGAAATATTCACCTCATGCTACTCAAAACCCTGTCAGGTGTCTGTGGGCGGGGGCAAGAGCAGGGGATGGGATGGGAACACCAGCCACTAACAAATTCACTTCATGCTACTCAAACCCTGTCAAACGCCAGTGGCGGGGCGGGGGAAGGGAGGGAAACCCCAGCCATTAACAAATTCAGATGCA